TTAGATTTATTTGGTACATTTTTATACTTTTCTTGTCCTCTTTCTTGCATTTTGAATTATTTAATTTTTTATGGTACGTTTTTTCTCTGGTAATCTGGGAGTGACAAATCTTATTTCTAGACTTTCAGTGGATATTCTTAAATTACTGGCATCTACTACCTAGTGTTGACCAGTAACACTGAGCAATTTAATGTCATTCCTCAATCATAATATCTCCAAATGCACATATTTTAACATCCAAATTTCCATAATTTCTTTTGTCTTTAAAAAGATCACATAGCTTCAGAGATTTTCTTCTACATCATGTTGGTAACTGATTTTAGATATTTATCCTGTGTTTTTTTCTGGCTTCTTTTCCTTTGCACAGTCCTCTTCCAGAACTAGGAAATTAGGCTGTCCCTATACATATTTATGTATTTTGTACGTGTATGTGGGATAGAGGGAGAGAATGATTAAACACCTTACTTCTATGCCATCCAAATTCCTGGCAAAAGAGCCAGAAAATGCTTTTGTTTATTAACTTATAGAATTGTAGGCACCTAGAGCTGGAAAGAACCTTTGAGGTTATCACATTCAATCTTAATAAACCAATTCAATAACTCACTTAAAAATCAATTCATTCAACAAATATTTTTAAGTACTTATCATGTTTCAAGAATTGTAGCTGGTGCCAGGGAGATAAAGATGAACAAATGAGATGTGCTTTCCAACTGAGAAGGCTCACGTTCTAGTGGGTGAGGAGATGCAGACACCCATACAGATGTGTGTGCAAGGAGGTCAGGGAACACTCCAGGAGGAGTGCTGCCTCTGGGCTGACTCTTAGACCATTCACTTTCCCTCAACCACTGCAGTAACTTCTGCTGGAGCACCACCAGTACATGTTTGCATAGCAACACTTACCACTTGTTAGAAAACGTATTCTTATTGAGCCCAAACCCCCTTTTCAAACTCTTCCATCATTGGTCCGGGTGTTGCCTTCCAGAGCTCAACAAAACACACGTGCTGACCTTCACTTAGCAGTCTTTCAGATGTTTGTCCTTCCGAGGTCTTTTTCCTTTTACAGTTAAGGATTCTAAATTTTGTATATTTCTCCCTCTCTCTGATCCTTCTTATATTGTTGCTCTCTAGTGTATAAATATGATCTTTAAACTATGATTTCCAAATCTGTATAAAATACTGCAGATGCAGTCAACTTTTGAAAAAATGCGACAAAACTATCATCTCCTTTAACCAAACAAAATACTTGAGCTTATGCAGTCTAAGATCACATCAACATGTTGTAGCCACATCGCATTCTCTCATTTAAATGATGAGTTAATGCCCAGTCTTTCTTCCAAATAAGATGCCAAGGAGGGAGTGAATATCACAGCATTGAGTGTATTAAAAATAAAAAGAGAGGGGTTGGCCTCGTGGCATAGGGGTTAAGTTCACTTGCTCTGATTCAGTGGCCCGGGGTTCCCTGGTTCAGACCCCAGGGGCAGGCCTAAGCACTACCTATCAAGCCATGCTGTGGCAGACATCTCATATATAAAATAGAGGAAGTTGGGCACAGATGTTAGCTCAGGGCTAATATTCCTCAAAATAGATAAATAAAAAGAGAAAAACAATGATGAGAAAATGAAATAACAGTACTTTACATGGGCTCAGATGGGAGGTTAGAACTACAAAATATGCCCTACACTGTCAGAGTCAAGAAGTCTTACATGCTTGCTAGAGCTGGAACATGGCGTTGGTTCTAAGATTGTAGTAGCTCACTTTGGCTTATAAACTGTGGTCAGCTAAAATCTCTCTCTCTATTTTTTATATAAATGGCCTCAATGTCAAATGTACTAATTCTGCATTCCAGTTATAGTTCATCTTATTTGTTCCTGCTTAAACATGTAATTCAAAAGCTTATCTGGCCCACCTGGTTTTCTACCATCTGCAGATCTTCTGGTTATGATTTTTGGTGGGCCTGCGAGGAATTGCTCCAAGCTCAAGGATGAATTAAGTTTCATTTTTCTGATCAACGTTCATTTTGAGTTGCTCTTACTCACTATTGGTTATATACAACTTACTTTTCCAAATGTTCATCAGATGATTTTCTCATCAAATAGTTCACTAATATCTTACAGCATCATTTTAACACTACCTTAAAAGTATAAAACATTAGACTCCCCAAGATGCACATGCTACTAAATCAAATGAAAATAGAGAGCAATATGTCTGGTCTCTTGAGCAATTTTTAGCTACATTGACTCCAACCGTAGAGACTGACGCCTGCAGACTCACTCTGCAAACATAGTAAATCACTCCGCCATGTTTTCCTTTTTAAAAATTGCATATAATATGTGAAAACAAGATAGCATGGGATACTTCAAGATTCCCTTAGTAGCCTTGCTACTGCACACCCTAGAAAACAACTGAGCAAGAATTGAACTAATTTCACTAAGAGTGTAAAGCTCCAGAAAAGCTTAGAGTCTTCTAAAACGGACAGCATAGCAACAAAGAGGAAGAGTGAGCTGCTGAAAATACAACGGCAATATGGTGGTATGTATAGAGTACAGCAGGAGATCAAGGAAGATGGAAATCCATTCAGGTGTCAGAGGGAGGTCGCGGAAGCACCAGGAAGGATTCTGTAGAGATGTTTGATTTGAGTCAAGCGTTCTTTAACAGGTAAGGTAAGGAATAGTATCGCAGAAAAGGGGGAAAAGTATAAGCCCAGGAGAGGAGAAAGGAGTTCAATAGCTTTCATGGTTAGTAGGAATTTTGGAGTGGCTGAAACAGACTGAAGGAACTAACGTGGAGAGAGATGCAGCTGGGAAGGTTGGCAGGAGCTGAGTCATGGAGGTCATTGTGTACCATGCTGAAGGTTTAGGACTTGATTTTTGTTTTAGAAGATTGCACATTTCTGTAGTTTTATGGCAAGATCCTGAAAATTATATTGTCACACTTTTACTAAAAGCAGAAATAGAAATAGTCTAAATTGAAGGCATCTCCAGCAGATAAGAAAAGAATCCACTAAGTTAGGCTCCTCAAGTTCCCCACATACAATCCAGCCTTGCTGCTGTATCTCTGGATGCTGAGTCGTTGAGTTTTCCCATTGATACTGTCCTGTCATCTCTAGCCCTTCATTTCCACGGTTATGTAACAGCCATCAAAATAAGTCATCTAAACCCAAGTTTAGTAAAGAACATATTGGTGAATTTCTAATAAAAAGTTAGAATAAGGATTATTGAAAGTTATGGATTGAGAATTCACTTTATCCATATTCAGATAGTTTCTACTGACATTTTCAATATTTCAAAATACACCCTAATTCACAATGAAGATTTGCATTTGTGAGATTTTTAAGAATGTTTACATTTGGGCAGAAATATGGGACTTTTCTAAGACAAGAATCAGAACATGCAGACTACCCTTGAATATTTAAAAGGGAATCACAGGTTATAGCCACTCCATAATTTTAATGTACTATATGTTAACAGACTTTTTCAGGAAAAAAACATGCTTCTGACTTCTACAATACAGTAATTGTAGTTTATACTCAAGTTTGCATATGAATTCCTATTAAGCCTACAGTTTTTTTTTTTTTTTTTTTTTGAGGAAGACCAGCCCTGGGCTAACATCTGCCACCAATCCTCCTCTTTTTGCTAAGGAAGATTGGCCCTGAGCTAGCATCTGTGCCCGTCTTCCTCCCTTTTATATGTGGGACGCCTGCCACAACATGGCTTGACAAGTAGTACATAGGTCTGTGCCTGGGACCCGAACCAGTGAACCTTGGGCCGCCAAAGCAGAGCATGCGAACTTAACTTCTATGCCACTGGGCTGGCCCCTAAACCTACATATTTTAACCTCTACCTTTTAAAAACCTTAAATTTCTCTTACTATTTTAAATTTTTGTTGTAATCCATTATCAATAGAACTCTTATACAAAGTATATATATAAAGTATATATACATGTATAAAGTACATATATTTTATATATGGGATATGTATGTACATATATGTATATATAACCTCATGATATATATATCTCTTCAAAACAAAATAGCAAAAATAGCAACCAGTAAAAATGAAATTTCAAATAACTTTGGAAGTGCTTTGCAAAATCCTTTTCTTTAATTGTGGTGATGCATCATGAAGTGCACACGTATTTAAAATATTTAGAAAAAGATTGGTTTGTTTAGGTTCAGCATGCATGCTTTATGCTGCAAGTTAATGAAAATTATGGCTTTAAAGAGCATATGTCATTATTTTTGTCTTTTATAGAACAGGTACTTGTATTTTTTGTTTTTTAATAGAACAAGGTGGTGTGTGTCTTCCTTTGGGAGGTCATGTTTTATACATATTGAAACATTTCAATTAGCAAAATATTAATTCGAAAAAATTTAAGTAATTTTCAGATACTAGTCTTCGCATCGTTAATATGGGTTTCTAAAATAGATCAAAGTCTTACAATAAAGACAATTGATCCACTAAAAGTTTTTACAGAGATAGGTGTAAAATTTCATATACATCTGGAACCACAGCTACATTCTAACCCCATGTTGCTTATTTTTCAAATAAAGTCATCCCCAAATCTGCTTGGGAGGACCGACCTCTTGAAAAGGGAAGGGGAAAGAAAACAGTTAAATAAAATAAATATAAGAGTGTCATTTTCACTGAAGTAGATTTCACACAAAAGCAACACAAGGCAACTGTTGATAACATTTTTTAAACAGCTGAATGTCATCTGTAAAACCTGAAGATCTGAAAATATATATTTATACCAAATGTATTTATAAAAATCTGTTGTGAGGTTTGTGAGAAATAAGTCCAATCTCCCTTTTCCCCCAAAGTATGCATGGTATATATGCTAACTTACTGAATTCATCCTTCATGCAATTCCAGTTTATTAAAGAGGTTAAAAATTTATAAAACTCTGATGGGATATGGTTTTAATGCTTCATCACACTACCCATCATTTGCTTTTCAATCTAGATCAGAATGATCTTTCCCACTTCCCTGCAATCACCTACCTGCACAGCTAATATTTCCTGAATACTCTCTTGAGAGTCTGTCTGGAACTTGGCCAGCCTCCTCTGGCTGTAGAGGACCACCAGTTTGAAGTGCTCCTGCCACACCTTGTGTATCCTTCTTTGCAGCTGACAGAGCTAAAGGGAAGAGGGAGGGGGAAAAAACACAAGTCAGAGTAGGAGAGGAAATTAATGGCAGTGTTCAAGAAGAATGATGGAGGGAAATATAGAAAGCAGTCAATAGCCCATTCTGCACTGTACGGACCTGACAGGAATTTCACAGTCTCTTGATTTTTCAGCCCACTCATGTGCATTCGTCAGAAACCAGTCACATCTGGCCGCCAGGATGGGGGGTTAATTTTCTCTAAATGCCTCAGCAGTTTTGTTCTAGCTGAGGCAAACTCTGTGACTGCAAAGCTGATGAGTAAAATATTTCTACTTCACCCAGTTTAACTCAAAACCGATAGCCTCGGGACATATTGAACCTTTCTTGAAAAAAATAATCTTTTGAAGCTTTTTTGAATGGCACATCAGGTCAAGCCAAAGTTTAAAAACGCAACTTTAAGACTTTGATGGACACCGTTGCGTCTTTTTTTCCTCATAAAGCTTACCATTGCTTGGCAATGTGTGCTTTAGAGCGTGACAAAACTAAAGAGAATTAACTTAGCCATCAACTGCTGAGGGAGAACAATAACATCGAAGAAATTTCCAGCTAGAACTCCCTATTAATCTACCTCCCTCTGACTGTGTGACATGGAAAGATCTTACTGCACTAAAGTACAGTGGATGCGACGTTGAGAAGGGACATGTTTAATACTGAATCTGTACGGAAAAAAGACTTCTGTGAGGCATTCTGTGCCTTTTGGAAGTTTAATATAAACCAAACAAAAGAAACACCGTAGAAGTTTGACCAAGACAATGTACATTTTCCCGTCAATAGTTAGCAAAGCCATACCATACAGAATTGTTATAATTAGATTATATTCAAAGAAATTAACTTCATAAAAATTAATGGTAAAAATCACATTAAAACAACATTTACATATGATATGTTCCATCCCTGAAACCTCTTTTGATTTTTGGTAATGTGGGTAATTGTTTATGTTGACTTCTTTTTAGCTTATTTTGCAGAATGGAAATATAATCACCAAAGATTTTGTATCAAACATTTCTGCATGACAGAATAAAAACATGTCATGAATATGGCTATTTTGTGTTCCATTTATTGATCTGGGTACTGCTTACATGCAAGAGATGCTTTGCAAAACTTCATCAAACAGTGCATGCATCACTTATGAACTTTTCTGTATGCATATTTCAATAAAAAAGTTTACTTGAAGGTAGCAATTTTTAAAATAGCTCCCTGGTGTTGCATGTGAATTGTTTATCATCATCTTCACTATGAATTATAATAAGCAACACATAGGTATTCATGTAAGTCCACAGAAAAATTAAACCTCTATTCTTGGTTAATTGGTTAACTTAGGAAGAAAAATAATCTTGAAAACTATAGATATTTCAGTTTGGTAAATGCTGAAATACATTACCTGGAATTAGTTTATGGGCTTTCAAATAATTTAGACTATTGAGTCCAGCATCGCTTTTTGTAGAGAAAATCTGCCAGTATTAAATTTTTCCGGAAAAGTTTTAATAAATATTTAAATACAATATTTTAATAATTTTAAAATAATATTAAAATAATTTTTTCTGTCAACTCTGACAGTGGGGGGAGGGTATGCTGTATCTTGATATACTCATTAAGATATTAGGACACGTTAGTCTATATATTATACTGTTATTATGATATCCACAAATATGACAAAAGGCAAATAAGGGAACATGAGTTTTAGAGGAATTAAAGTGAAGGTAATTTTTTTTACAAGCAGGAGCTCTTCAACGTGTGGAAGGTTTTACAAGTGGGAGCTCCTCAACCAAGGCGAACTGAATGGTAGTATTTCCCACGTCCATATCTTAAATGACAAGAAGCAACTGTATACAAGAAGTCTGTTTCATTCGCGTTTCTGCAGTCTAACTTGAGGTAGCCACAAAGGCCCTAAATTAGTCCATATACAAGTGTTAACTGAATCTACTTCACTAGAGAAAGTCCTTAAATAACAACTAAGAAAGAGCAATATCTGAAAAATTAGCTTTTTTGGGAAATCTATAGCTAATAGTCCTTTGGAAAAAGAAGAACCAGGAAATGGAAAAACTGAAGGAATTCTTAAAGAGAGAAGAATCAGCATTCAATAAAAGTCACATATATATATATACACACACACATATGCACATTAAAGACAATAAAATGATCAATAATAATATATACGGGAAAATATTTAAGACACTGGGAAGAAGAGTTGATTTAATCTAAGAGCTGGCCACGATGACAAGTATTTTAGAAAATGTTTATGATAAAAGCCCAATTAAGATGTGAGATGTCAGCAGACAGTGATCATTCAGTAAATATTTATTAAAATTAACTGAATAAAGTGAACTGGTAAAATTTTAGTGGCAAAAGTGAAGAAATGAGTAAGACTTTCAGGAAGTTACTAATTAGTGGTAGAAGAGAAAAATAAACCAAGTAAATGGAAAAGCCGCGAAAATATGTAAAGGAAAAATTAAAGAGAGAGGGAGAATTGTAAGCGGAAAAGTCCTTCAGGTGGATGCAAAGTTTAGGTTGGAAAACCAAAGGAACTGGAATGTTTTTTGATCTCTCTAACCTCAATTAGCCCAGTATTTCTGGAATGAAACACTCCAATGATTGCATTCCTGAAATGTAATCATTTATTCCTGAAATGTCACATTCCTGTGCTCTCATTCAGATTTTAAGAAAGGTGAGGTGGGATGAGGGAGGAAGTGGTAGAGAAACGAAAGAGGACAGTGAGAGACACAAACACAGTGGGTGGGTGATAGCAAGGGCACTCGAGGACTTGTCATGGACTTAGAAGTAAGATTGGAATTTAGAGACATTGATAGATGAGCTGGACTGCTGCTTAGCCCCAAATAAATGTTGCAAGGACTTTGGAAGAGAATGGATATATTCTCAGAAAACTAAGGAGGAGCATATTAGCACAGGAAAAGAGTCCTTTTGGAAAAGGATCCTCAGCTCCATGGCCGTCATTTTGGATATGAAGAGAAAGTAAGGATATTCAACTGTATCAGGAAAGCTGAATCAGAAAGCAGCTGGTGTGTGCTCAGACCCATTTAAAATGGCCAGAAGGAATGGAAGAGTTTTCTGACAATGGTTTCCCATCAGTTTGAATTTGTAGTAGACTTAGTAAACTTGGCTTTAGTACTTGCTTTGTGAGTTCCCTGCTGAATGGAGGCCAAAGATAGAATTCATTGATTCTTCTTTTGAGATAATGATCACTATGTACCTATTCATGAAGAGAAAAATTGGTCAATGTCCATTTTGACATGGTGTAGTAAGATATAGAGAGTTGGTGATCCTACATCAACGTGAGCATTGTCTACAATGTACATTTGTGAGCATTGCACAATACACATTTATACATTTGGTAAAAATATCTTCTGATTAAATTTGCCTGGGTTTCTATGATATTTATTAATATTTTAAAGCTTGCCACTCCTTGACAGTAAAATAGTAAGTTAATGTTGTCACTTTCAAGAATAAAAGATTCTCCATTTTTCTATTTTAATACACTAAATTATATGGATTCTGTTTTAATCTAAGTTATTATTATTTTGTTGTTGTTGAGGAATATTGGCCCTGAGCTAACATCTATTACTGTTATTCCTCTTTTTGCTTGAGGAAGATTGTCCCTGAGCTAACATCTGTGCCAGTATTCCTCTATTTTGTATGTAGGACACCTCCACAGCATAGCTTGATGAGTGATGTGTAGGTCTGTGACCAGGGTCAGAACTCGCAAACCCTGGGCCACTGAAGCAGAGCACGCCAACTTAACCACTATGCCACGGGGCCAGGCCTAATTAATCCAAGTTATTTTGATTGCCTATATAAATTCCTGATAATTGCTGACTTCTATATATCACATAAACCTGCCTTAATACTAAATGTTATAATACATATATTACAACACACAAAACCTCTAATTATGTGGGTTTAGATTTATATTATTTTCTTGCTGTTACACATGTAAAACATTATAATATGCTAAGAACAAAATAACACCATTTGATATTCCAAGTTCCTGAAACATTAGGGCTAGGTATAATCAAATTCATACCAAAGTATCACCTTACACCATTCCCGTATTCTCAACATTAAAATTAGAAATTCCAAAGCATCAACTTTTCAGGTATTTTCCAGGGCCAGGTTGGAGCATTCAGTTGTCTGCTTTACATTATAGAGGACACAAGAATAAAGTAAAGCCTTACTATGCCTAGCTCAAAGGAGACAATTGGGGCACAGCATGGAAGAATGGGGTAAAACAGAGTTGAAGCATATTTGCTACTTGTCAGAGGAAAAAAAATGTGTTCATACGAGTGACTTTAAAAACAGGCCCTCAAGTTATTTGCTAATCTTCCCTTTAAGAAGTGAAGCAGAATTCCTCTCCCCTTGAGTGTGGGCTGGACTTAGTGACTTTCTCATAAAGAACAGAATATGGCAGAAGTGATAGTATGCCACTTCCAAGAAACACACATACACACACACACCTATGGCTTCTGTGCTGAGTTTTCTTTCTCTATAATTCTCTCAGATCATGTGATCTGGGAGAAGCCAGCTCCCCTGTTGTGGGAACAGCTCTGTGGAAAGACCCACATGGCGAGGAACTGAAGATTTTTCTGCCAACAGCCGTGTCCATGATCTTGGAAGCAGATTCTCCAGCCTCTTCAGGTGACTGCCTCCCCCGCCAACAGCTGGATCATAACCTTGTGCGAGACCCTGAGCCAAAATTACCTACCTAAGCAGCTCTTGATTCTTGAGTCTCATAAACTTTGGGAGACAATAAATGTTTCTTGGTTTAAGTTGCTAAATTTTGGGACAACTTGTTATGCAGCAATATTTAACAAAAGGTTCTTAACTGTCTTCCTCTCTTTGCCTAGCAAGGAAATAATTTACTACCCATATCTTCTCACTGGAAAGTAAAGTGCTCTCCTAAGTCACTGTTGAGTTTAAGACTGAAATTGAAAATGATTTATTAGTAATAAGAGGGTGA